AGCAACCAACAACATCAACCAAGGTCCTGCCAATGCTGGCTTGGGGGGCCAACGGGTTATCTCTAGCTGGTAGAACACCGAGCTTGCCCAGGCACGTACGTCAGGCCAATGGGGATTGAACCCACGAGCTCCTGAATGCAACTTCTGTGCCTTACCAACTGAGCTAGGCCCGCAGACCAACTTCGGGGCTTGTAGATAGTTGTTTCTGTTTTCAGTTCAGGCTACTGTGGTCCTTATACTGAACTTGGGGGATGATGCCTTGTCCTCTACTAGAGGAACCAGCCAACATTTGTTGGGGACTCCAGGCCCTTTACGTCGCTTGAAAAAAAGGAGGAGGAAAAGGTCTTCAAATAGATAAATAAGTACACAAAAACATAAATAATTTTTTTTAAATAAACAAATACATAACTGAATTAATATTAAAAAATTCCTTGGTTGATGAGTCAGACGAAATATAATCGGAAACTGCTTTCTCCTTTTCCTTCCATCCCTCTCTCTCTCTCTAACTGCGTCGTCCTGTAAGTCCCACCAGCAAAGAGGATTGGATTGAGCTCCTGAATCTGGATGTGTTTTAGCAGAGATGCAGAAAAGCTGTTCAATCTCAAATTTCTGCACTTTTCCAGAAACACGTCTGGATTCAGGACCTCGCCCGCAGGCACTCTGTCAACAGCCCAAATGTAGTTAGTCTGTGTGCCAGATAGCCAATGTACCAGGACACTTGGTACTGGTAGGCCCGCAGTGGGCCGGTAGAAGAGTGTCTTTAGGAGCGGGACTTAGTCCTCTGGGCCGTGCTACCCTCTTCACCCGAATCGAACGCGGTAATTATTGCCGTGTCTGGACTGAAAGTTGCACCAAATACAGATATAACGACCGGGCGTTCTATTCGGGTGACGACGGTAGTCCCAGAAGTAGGATAGCTAGGCAGTTTTTTTTGCATCAGGAGGTTGGTTACAGTTCAGGTCTTGACTCAGTACGTCTACGGCTACTTTATGGGGATAATTGCTAGAAAGAGCCCACGCCAAAACCTTTTCGGTTTTGGGTGCCCAAAACTCGGCCGGTCCAAACTTCTTCAGCCTTGATGAAAGGCGTCTTCGCGCCGCGGCCACATCTCCCTAGGCTTTGGCGCTGTTTTTGCGCCAGATTTATTAACGGGTAGGGCCCTTTTTTTCAAAATAACGTACGTGGGCCTCATTCTATACTTCAGCCACCCTCGGCCTCTTTTACATCAAAATGAATCCGGAGTTGTTGTGCACCAGATTCATGATCCGGTAGGGCCCTTGGAGGGATGCGTGGGTCTGTAGTACCCCACATGGAAGTTTATTGGGCCGGCCGAATTTCGGGCGCCCAAAACCGAAAAGGTTTTGGCGTGGGCGCCTTCTACCGATTATCCCTACTTACCTGACATGGTATGGTATCTTCAGAACGGTCCAAGTTTCATGAAATAGTTAACCTGAGGTAGGAACCTGGAGAGTTGTGGATAGTGGGGCTCGCTGCACTACTCTAGACTCATGAAAAAATTGTAGAGTTGTTCTAGAGCTGTCAGAGTCACGAAAAGTCCTAAAACCTATGCATCACCGCAAGACTCTAGAAAAGCTAGAGTTGCTCCGTCAGTTTCTGAGTTCGGTTATTTCATTACAGGACAGCGTCAGCCTGGGTGGTCCGTCCAGACTCAAGGCCTACTCTAGGAAAATGTGGGAAAACCAAGGTGTTTCAAGGGTCCTCCGGACCTACCTAAGAAAGAAATGCTTTGCAGGCTGGTACTCTAGATCCATACAGAGTGAGAAGGACGGACCTGCTCTGACAGCTCTAGAAACGAAAAATCTAGAACGAACTTAGCAAGTAAGTGGAGCCATGACGCCTCTATAAGTTTTCTAGAGTCGTTCTGACAGCTCTAGAACAGGTTTCCCAGCGCCCATTTATAGGGTCGCGCGCTGCACTACGCTATACTCGTGCAAAACCAAGAGTGCAGCACCGCGGCACCTACTCAAGAAACGGGCGCTCTTGAAAACGTTATCGAGCTGTCAGAAACAGCTCAAGAAATCCGCAAGAGTTGTCTTCGCTGCACCTGCTCGAGAAATTTGCTCTAGTTACCCAATTTCATGAGCTGTCAGAAGGGTGCCATGAATTCTCTCTAAGCTGTTCTTGAGTACCAGCCTGCAAGGACCGTATTTTTTAGGGAGCTCCGAAGGACCGACGGAACGCCCGGAATTTCCTTGAGTGCCCATGGCCCCGGTATCTCAATTTTCAAAATTCCATCCTTAGGCTAATTAGACTTTTCTAGTAGTTCCGTATCTCATTTTCATGAATTTTCTGATGAAGCTTTCTGAGCGTAGGGCCCGGTTCCCAGTTTGTGCCACTTTGTGAGGATATGGTTGTATCTATGGGACGCTGGACCCTGTTTCCAGCAGGTGCTGCTCCCCACCAATAGATGAAGCTTCTTTCCCAAAAAAAAAAAAAAAAAAAAAAAAAAAAAGTATGGGCAGGCAACCCAGGCTGGCGCTGTCTGGTATTGAAGCTTCCGAACTCGTAGAAGCTCATGAAAAATTGTCGGATCCCATAGTGCTACTCTAGAAGTTCCAAACGTCTAGAGTACATGCGGTGATGCGCGGGTTTCGGGACTTTTCTGGAGTCTGACAGATCTGGACCAACTCGTGAAACGTTGCACGAGTATAGAGTAGTGCAGCGAGACCCATAGAGTAAGCGCATCCATGCCGCACTCAAGAAAAAGCTCGAATCTTTTATAGAGTAAGTGCAGCCATGCCGCACTAAAAAAAAAGCTCGAATCTAGCGCAGTGCAGCAAGGCTCAGCGACTTTCTGCAGGCGCAAGCCTGTAAGCTAAGCTGGCTGATGCTGTCAGTATTCCGGGTGGAATTGTGAATTCCCCGGGGCCATGTCCCACTTCTCCAGGTTTTGTTCTGGTTTCGAGTGTACATGACTCCTTGCCATCCGATTTGAAAATCCCACGGCCCTAGTGTGACCACGTTGGAAATAAGAAGAAATATAAAGTAAACCCCCGCTAGTGGGTCACGGCCTCGAATTGAACCTTTATAATGAAGTGTGATGACTGTTTAAAACAAATAATAATAATAATGTAAATAGTAACAAAAGAAATAATAATAATAATAATAATAACCCGCAACCAACTGTCAAATGAATATTTCTTAGTTCATAGTGGGGGGAGGGGAGAGGAGGGGGGGAACAAGGACCAGAAGAATAAAAATGAAAAAGTGAAAAATATCCACGTAATTGATTGCCTGATGACCACGAAAAAGAAAAAAAAGCCTGATGAGCCAGAGAAATACGCGCCGCCGTCAGATTGATTAATCGTTCCAAAAAAAAGGATCTCAGTTATAGATAAACGACCACAAGCTGGGGAGAAACGAAGAATGTAATATCCTATTTTCGTACACTACATTACTTATTTAAAATTTTTTAAAGCCTACTTTTTTATCACAATGACAATGCATATTTTGCTCGCTCCGAGCTAGGTTGGTGCCAAAGCGCGCCATAGCGCGCCAAGCTAGCGAGACGCTAAGGCACCGACTCTCTCTCTCTTTCTCTCTCTCTCTCTCTGTCTCTCTGTCTCTCTGTCTCTCTCTCTCTCTCTCTCACCTTATTGGATAGATTTCTCCCTTTCGCTGTGATCTAAGGGCATACTCACACTCTTACTTCTGGACGGAATTGCGGCCAGATGCATACAGTTCCTGACGTAAATGCCCTCAGATACATTTGAAATAATGTTAGTGTGAGTACACCCTGAGTGATATCTGGTCTGAGATGGAACGCTAAACAACCGTTGAATTAAACGGCTCGCTCTAGAAGGGGAGGGACAAGATTGAAAAACGAAACTTACGGAAGGGGGATATGCCAGGGAAGAAAAAAAAAAAAAGCAAAAAAAAGCATATAAGCGTTGCACAAAACGGTCCCCCCGCCCCCCCCAAAAAAGGGCGGTCGACGACGGCGACACAGCAGGGCCGGCTTGATTGAATGAATGGCCATAGCCGATCCACGTGGAAGTAAGGGCTGCTTGCATTAGTGCATACTCACAAAAGGACTTTGATAAACGTATCGGACCACGATCCGGGACACATTCATTCTTGAAAGAGCTATTGTGAGTATGCCCCCCTTAGCAGCAGCCGCAGCCCAACGAGGATGAGCAGCCGGAGAGGGAGGAGGGAGAACTAGAGTCCTGGAAGAGGAAGAGGAGGCGGAGACGGAGGGGGGGTGGTGGTGGTGGTGGAGGAGGAGGAGGAAGAGGAGGAGGAGGAGGGGGAGGACAGCGATGACGATGTGATCACGAGTAGATGAAGTAGAACGGATATGAAAAGACGATGAAGGTGAGAACAAAAATAAAGAACGGAAAGAAAAAGGGCAGATGGATAAAACAAAGACGAAGAGGAGGAGGAGAAGGAGAAAAGGGGAATGGAATGAGAGGAGACACTGCTGCTAGGATGAGGAGGAGGAGGAGGAGGAGGAGGAGGGGGGGGAGGAGGGCAAGAGGACCACAAGCAGGAGTGGGTAGAGGATGATGAAATGGAGAGAAAGACAGGAGTACGGAAAGGAAGAGGGCGAAAAAGAGTTCAAGAGAGGAGGAGGAGGGAGCGAAGGAGAGATAGAGAGGAGTACAGGAAGGGAGAGGAAGAAGAACAGGTAGAAGAGTGAAGCAAACGGTCGGAGGAGGAGGACATAGAGGAAGGAGAAAAGAAGAGAGGAGGAGGAGGGAGCGAAGGAGAGGACGAGAGGAGTAAGGGAAGGGAGAGGAAGAAGGACGGGTAGAAAAGTGAGCAAACGGTCCGAGGAGGAGGACGAAGAGGTGGGAGAAAAGAAGAGAGGAGGAGGAGGGAGCGATGCGGAGAGAGAGAGCAAGTGTTGGACAAGAGGGGCAGGAAGATGCCCACGAGCGAGCGGAGACGGACGAGGAGACAGAGAGAAGACCATTGCAAAGAATGTCAAAAAAAAAGGGAAAAAAAAAAGGATACAGCAGGTGAAAAAGAAGGACGAGACGAGCAGCAGCAGTAGGACGGGGTGGAGGGAGGAGGAGGAGGAGGAGGAGGGGCGCGCTAGCTGCACAGACAACCCGGGTGCTGATCATTTCCCCGCCACGAGGAGCCGGCAACCAAGCAGCAATTTTGCGGCCTCAGAGTGTTTCTATCTGTCCATGATTTGAGCGCATTCGCTCTTCGGTCGTACTCCTCCTTAGGAGCTACGTGCTTCTCAGTACTTAGCCATTTCAGCACCGCCTTGACCTTCTTCTCCATCGCTGCTTTCTTACGCGGACTCAATCCCTGCGCTCCCTTGCGCAGTTCCAGCGCGGATTCGCGCAGCTTCCGCCGGGCCGTAAAGGCCGATCTAACGGCCTCGTCCCTGCCTGCACAAGCCTGTGCCTTTTGCAGAACTGAAGACGCTCTCTCCTTGTCTAGCTTGACCGTGATGCTGTCGAATGTCACGACCACCTTCTTCTCCGCCCCCCCCGTCGACTGATTGCATGCACCCTCAGCCGTCGCGTGAAGGATGCCATCGGAATCGACGGTCAGGATCAACCGAGCCATCGGGGAACCGACGGCCGGCGTCGACGCCAATCCCTTGAGCAGAAGCAAGCCAAGAAAACGGTTGTGTTTGCACAACGGCCGCTCCCCCTCGTAGATTCGAAAGAGCATTCCAGTCTGGAAATCCGTCGAGGTAGTGAATAGCATTGATCCGCTGGCTGGAAGCGGACTATTCCTCGGAATCAGCACGTTCATCTGGTCTAAGGTAGACCTAACGCCTATACTAAGCGGCGTAACTTCTTGTACAGATACCGGCAGGCTATATTGCGACCTGTGGGCATCGCTGTAAGTCAGCATGCCCGCCATAACTGCAGCTCCGTAGGCCACAGATTCATCCGCATCAACGGGATCAGCAATGATCGTCGGTCGGCCGAAGAATTGGGCCAACATCTGCCGGATTCGAGGGATCCGAGTGGAGCCTCCGACGAGTATGACGTCGGAGATGTCCTCCGCTCCCATCCCGGCGTCGCGCAGAACTTCCTCCACCAACACCATACACCTGTCAAATAGATCCTGATTCATCTGCTCAAAGTCCGACCGATCCAGTCGGACCTCGATCTCTGTACCTATCTCTCCGGAGGACGGTTGTTCTATGTGTATGCTCACCGAGTTAGCCGTCGAAAGGGCGTGTTTTGCGGCGATGACCTTGTTTCGAAGCAGAGGAAGACTCGGGTTCAGAGGCCCCTCCTCCGGGCCGTGGCGGCCGCGGCGAGGGGGGGAAAGGAAGCTGTTGTTCTGAGGAGTCTTGTTGCTGTCCCAGCGGTTGTCCTGCCTGGACCACCACCACCTTCTCCCTCCTCCTCCTCCTCCTCCTCCGCGTTGTCGTTTTCTCAGCGTGGCTATCCTCTCCATCACGTGGGTAATCAGGCGGTTATCGAAATCCGTTCCGCCGAGATCGCCATCGCCAGCCACTGCTTTGACGAGGAAGCGCGACGCGATGTCGTTTCCCGCGTTGACGGTGACGATGGACACGTCGAACGACCCCGCGCCTAGATCGAAGGCCATCACAGTCCTTCGCTCACACGCTGCGTTCATTAGCCGCTGATGACCGTAGGCCAAGACCGCAGCAGCCGGCTCGCTGATGAGTCTCAGCACCTTCAGTCCCGCCTTAACGGCCGCATCCCACGTGGCTTCCCGCTGACTGTCGGTGAAATTGGCGGGAACGGAGATGACGGCTTCGCGGATGGCCGCACAGCCGGTGAAATCTTCCGCCATCTTCTTCATCTTCATAAGCAGCAATGCAGAGATTTCTTCTGGGCGAAAACGGCGCCGCTGCGCCGGGCCAGCGCAACCTCCTCCTCCTCCTCCTCCTCCTCCTCTTCCTCCTCTTCCTCGTCCATCGCCTCCTGCTTCTCTTTCGCCGCCGACATAGCCCCCTCCGTCATCGAGCCTCCCAGCCCTTGCCCCACCTCCTCCTGCTCTTCTTCCCCCATCCCTTCTTAATTCTCCAACGCCATCGCCATCACCATCATCATCCCCATCGCCGCCTCCTGCGTCAGATGTCCCAGGCATTGAATCCGCGCTGGCCGGGCCCGGCACTTCGATCATGACCTCATCCGATGGCCCAGAAACCACTCGGAATGACCAGCGTTTCAGATCTTCTTGCACACCTGCGTCGCTGAACGATCGGCCAATGAGTCGTTTGACACCGTAGATGAAATGCTCAGGGAAATCTCGCTCGAATCTCTTCGCGCCATTGCCAACCAGACACTCGTCATCGTTGAACACGACGCAGGACGAGACGCGACGAGATCCCGTTTCGTCTGGGACGACTTTGATAATACCCCCATCTTGAAATACCGCCACGGAGCAATACGACGTCCCCAGGTCGATACCCATCACTGGCGTCCGCGACAAAGGTTCCATCATCCTCGAATAATCATACTGACATCAATCCCCTCTCTCTCTCTCTCTCTCTCTCTCTCTCTCTCTCTCTCTCTCTCTCTCTCTCTCTCTCTCTCTCTCTCTCTCTCTCTCTGTGTGTGTGTGTGTGTGTGTGTGTGTGTGTGGATTGATCGACTGTGATTGTTCGATCGATTGATCGATTGATTGATTGGTTGGTTGATTGGTTGATTGGTTGGTTGATTGGTTGATTGATTGATTGGTTGGTTGATTTGGTTGGCTCATTGGTTGATTGATTGATTGATAGGTTGGGTGATTGATCAGTTGATTGATTGATTGATCGATTGAGCCTATCTCCTGCAATCCAATGTTTGTCTAGAAAGGAGAAAAAGCGAAACAAACCTGGATGTATTACCGGAGTATCGGGTAACTTCAAAATCTTCTCGATCATGCTTAACGGAATCTGATCTATTATGTGGGTCGGGTACTTGCTGCACGCTCAAGTTAAACTACCCCTACCTTTAACCTTTCATAACCACTCTGGTTAGTCAGAAATCCCTCCCTTTTTAGCTAGCGTGTCCGTCGGACGGACAACTCGATGTCAAAAGTAATGCAGGTGCTAGTTACAAGACTTCAAGCCCTTCCGAGTGAGGACGATGGCGATGTCATCTTGGTCTCCTTCTCTGTTCTTCTCCATCTCCAACGTGCCTATTCTCTCGCTTGGGTAATTCAAAATCCTATACAGATACGATAGGCGCAAGAGATTCCACCACGTTGCCCGCTGCTAAAACCCTTGGGGGTATAGAACTCTCTGTGCGCCGTCTGATTGGATTAACTTCTGGAATCTGGACTCATTACGGAATCAATCACACCATCAATTATACGATCATTGTCAATCATCAATCAATCAATCAATCATACGTCTGAAATATCGATTTGTCGCGCAAAAAACAGAACTTCAAATGTCATTCATTTTTGCTTGGAAACCAACTTCTTCAAATGCGTGTCGATCCTCACAACTCACAACGTGTTTATCACTCCCACTTATCTCACAGTCAGCTCTGGACAGGCACAGGAAATCGATTTCGACTCCGCCAAAAAGGGGTAGGTAAGGAAAGCCAATCTGATGGTTGGGAAATCAACTCATCAACGGACAGCATGCCAACAAAGCAAAGCCACATTTACTGTAAAATTCAAGTCAGTAAGACAAAGTAGTCATTTATACAAGCCGTCACCCGCGGCCCGCATCCACAATTCGACCGCTCAACAGCATTTTCCAGACAGCACGGGGCACAAAACTCTTCCAACTCCAATTGTGCTGGATATTGACGTCTGCGTGCGAGCGCGCGCATGTGTGTGTGTGTGTGTGTGTGTGTGTGCGCGCGCGCGCGCGTGTGACAGAGACAGGGACAGAGACAGATCAGCTGCGTCTGTGTGTGTGTGTGTGTGTGTGTGTGCGCGCGCGCTCGCGCTCTTGCGTGCTTTTACGCGTGCGCGTGAGTGCGAGTGCTTTTATGCGTGCGTGTGCGTGTCAACACACACACACACACACACATACACACACACACA